ATTATTATTAATTGATTGCATAATTATTAACAATTTATATTAAATGCAATTTTTATCTAATGTTATGTTATAAAATTTTTTCTTTTCAACTTACTTACTTATTAACGTGATATATCCAAAATTTAAAATAATAATAATAATAATAATAATAATAATAATAATAATAATAATAATAATAATAATAATAATAAAACTATTTAAGGTTAATTAAAAAAATTACATTAACTATTATTATCAATTCTTATCAGCAAACTACCAGTGAGAGAGTATTCAACTCATCCATTTTTATATTTTTTTTTAAAATAAAAAAAAATATTTATTTAATTACAAATTTTTTTATTAAAAAAATTTTTGTTAACAATAAAGTCATTGACCTTTAACTATTATCTATCTTCGAAGATGATATAAAAATAATAATAAATAAAATTAAAAAAATAATCAATTTATATATTATGGTACATACTAAAAAAATAAATAAATAAGGAAGTAACATTTTCATTTAACCATTCCATTATATTTAAATAAAAAAAAAGATGAAAGAGTAATAATAATAATAATAATATTAAGTTAAATTTACTAATAATATAAAACATGTCGACTGCAATAGGATTTTTTTTTCTTTTTATTTTCCTTATAATAAAAAATTTTTCAGGTATACTTAAAGTTTTAAAACAAAAAAAAAAATCAAATGGGTTTGGCTTTAATAATTATTGTCTGTGTCTGTGTGTGTGTGTGTGTGTACCTTTAATAATAATAATGATAATAACAGAGTTTACATTATTCATCCGGTTTTATGTCCTTCATCTTTCAGCCAATTTTTTTTTAACCAACGGCTGTATTAAGTCAAATACAACGGTTCATCAGATATATATTGCGTTTGAAAATATCAGTGCCATATAAAATATAACTGGAAAAATTTATTCAAGGCAAACAACAACAACGACTACTCATTCGAAAGCAATAATAATAATAATAATAATAATTTTATTATTTATTTATACATATATATATGAATAAAAAAACATGTTTTTTTCTTTCTCCTACCCTCCTAACTCTCAATGGTGACTAATATAACTGTAATGCAACAATTCCTATCCCTATCTTTTATTTAAACCAGATAAATAAATTTTTATTTATTTATTTATTTATTTTATTTCAAATTCAATTTCAAAATCCTAATAATAATAATAATAATAATAATTTGTATTTTTCAACACATACATAATATTTTTTTTGGAAACAAAAACAACAACATCCTTGTTGTTGTTGTTTTTTTATTATCCCATCATCATTATTATTATTATACCATAATTAACACCTTTCTAATATTTTAATCATTTTCTTTATTACGTCATTGATTAATTTATAAGATTTATATCTTAGATTTTTACGTCATTATTTTAAAAAATAATAATAATAATAAAAAAGTGTGTGTTTTTTTTTTTTTGCCTCCTATTTCCTGCAAATAGATAAAATCAGTTGAAAAGAAATAAGAAAAATAGATTTTGATGAATAATAATAATAATGATAATAATAATGTAAAAGAAATTGAAGTAAATATGATAGTATTGTTGGGGAAGGGATTGGGCTAAGGGGGAGGAGGGTGAGGGAGTTTGATGATGTTTTTCAAAAGGGACATTTTTATTTAATATGTTTTATCACAAAATTTATTTCAAATTACATAATAGAGAAGAAGAAGAGGAGGAGGAGGAAGGTGATGATGATGATGATGATGAAAAGTTTTAGGCATTCAAGTTATGAGTTTACCGGTTTTTTTTTTTTTTTAAATTAAAATATCTGACTGAACATTATTTTTATTTTTTATGTAACGTTAAATAAAATAAAAATAATTTCTCAAATAAATTTTTGAAAATGATAAATCCGGGAAAAACCTAAAAAAAAGTCATTCACGAAAAAAAAATTTAAAAGTCCAGGTTTAAGGTGAATTTCATAGGATTATTAATAATCGAATGAATGAGTGAATGAATGAATGAATGGGTCATTTAAAAAAAATAAGAATTATGAAAATTTTTGTATTTTTCACCTTCGAATAAAAAAAAAACAATATCGATAACGTGTCTAAGGGATTTTTTTTTTACTCTCTAAATGAATGAATGAATTAATGAATGAATGATATATTGATTAAAACTAAATTTAATAATAAAAAAGATTGTTTCATGTCCACAAAATTATACATTTGTACATTTTGATAATGTTTAACTAAAAAAATAGTCTTCTGCCATAAACTATAATAATATTTAGTTTTCCAACTTTTTTAATTAAATTTTGATAAAATTATTATTATTATTATTATTATTATTATTATTATTATTATTATTATTATTTTTGTAATTGATGTTGTTGCAATTTCAAATTCGTTTATTATTATTGGGGTTAAATGAAAATCATTTTCCTGTTGTTTTGCTGTTGTTTGATCTTTAATCAAAATTTATTACAAAATTAACTTGAGTGGATGATAACATGAGGTAAAACATAAAAGTTTTTGTTTTTGTTTTGTTTTGTTTTTTGGGTTTTTAACATTTTAAAATTTTTAATGTTTTACAAAAAAAAAAATTAAAAAATATATAATTTCACGCCGATTAAATAAATTTCACATTTTTTTTTTTAAAATATTGAAAAGTCATTTTGAATTAAGCGTAATTGACATTTGGAAATCGTTTTTTTTTTTTTTTTTTCTGTTTCATGCATATATAAAAATGAAATGTTAAATTATTAACCGAATTTCTAATGCCATATTAATAATAATAATAATAATAATAATAATAATAATTTTTTTAAATCGAACGAAAACCTCATATGAAACCGTGAAATTTTTGGTCTAATTTTACCGAAAAATTATGCGTTGTTACACTTTGTTAAACTTAATAATTAAAAATTGTTATTATTATTATTACTAATTATTAATTATGTTTTTGTTTCTTATTTTTCTCTTTAAAAAAAAAATATTGTTTTTTTTTCCCCATTCAATTTAATTTGCCGAAATTTTTTTTTTTTTTTGTTATTTTCTCTTTGTTCGTTATGATCCAGATATTTTTTTATTCCAAATTGCAATGCGTGTGCGTGTGCGTGTGTGCGTGTGTGTACAGTGCATTATTATTATTATTATTATTATTATTATTATTATTATGCATTCAAAATTTCGAAATAATTTTCTCGTTTAACATTAAGGGAGTTCTTTCGTAATTAATGTGGAAAAAAAAAATTTGTTTTTCGAACGAAAAATTATTTTTAATGATTTTACCAAAAACAAAAAAACAAAAACGAGACGAAATTCGAGAGAAATTTTTTGTTTAACTAAAAAAAAAAAAAAAAAAATGGTAATATTAAATATCAAACAAAAAAAAAAAAACTTACTTTTCCAAATTTTTATAAATTTTTTTTCCTTTTAGTATCCAATTTTAAAGTATTCCGATTTATATGTATAAATATATACTAATATTATTTGAATTTAATCATTTCATCACCGTCTCACCATTTTTTTTCTTTTTTAATTTATAAAAAAATTTTTTATTTTTATAAAAAAAAAAAAATTTCTTTTTTTTTTTTTTAAAAAAAAAACTCGTTAAATATCTAGAGAAAGTGACTGACTGACTGTATACCGCGTCTGAAATTGTAGTGAATAAAAAAAAAAAAAAACCGAGTACTTTGAGACAAGGCTTATGGCCGACTGACCAACTTTACATGAATCTTTGGTACCAGGTACTCGACACAAGAAAGACGGTCTTAAACATAAGAAAGAGAAATCAATTTCACTTTTATTTAATGCCATTTCATTTTTTTTTTTTAAATTATTATTATTATTATTATTATTATTATTATTATTATTATTATTATTACTATTTTTTCGTTTTTTGTTTTTGTTTTTCCAATATGTTTCATTAGACATTTGACAATGGTTGATAGTAATAATTACTATTTTAAAAATGTTTTTTGTCGCGTATTATTAATTTTATCAGTTAATTAGTTTTTTCGAAGCCATTAAAACTCAGTCGGATAAATTATTAATGGTTTGTTTTAGTAGACACAAAACTTTGGATTTTTTTAATTTAACCTTTATCATTTTCTTTTTTCACAAATTTTTTATATATTTTATACAAATTATATATTTGTGTTTAAATATGTCAATTGTATTTTTTCCCATAAAAAAATATTTTTAAGAAACGAAGATTATAATTTGTTTTTAGATTGCATTTAACTACAAATCCATTGACGTTTATGCATCCGTGTATATATAATGAAATGTAAAATAAAAATGTGCACATCCCTTATCATAATTTTATTTTATTTTTCTTCAATGATTGTTTTGTTTTTTTTATGTTTGTTTGTTGTTTTGTTTGTTAACTTGCTTTTTTTTTAGACAAATAAATGTAAACAATAATTTTCGTTGAAATAATATTTATTTACTGTAAAATGAAAAAACATTACGAAAATTATTATGGAAATATTGATTAGGAAACATTTTAAATATCAAATCCTGTGAGCAAAATCTTGGCAAATCACGGGTAGCCAGGCTGAGTAGATGATCGGTAAACCAATGCACTTTGATTTTGTTTCGAGTAAGGATTTCCTTCGACTGCGGCTCTGTATCCTGGAGATCCAGGTCCCTTGGGTGGGCCACTATTCAAATATTTGAAATAAATAACTTTCATTAATCATTTTAATTCGCTGAAATAAGGACTCGTAATAAACATTAAGCGAATGACTAAAAGATTCAAACGTACCCAATGGTGGAATATTGTCCAGCAGAGGGCATGGAACCAAACTGAGGTCCGTATGGTGAAGAATACATTTGTGTATAACTGGAAGTATACTGAAACTGGGTAGGCATTGGTTGGCCTGGCTGCATGGACTGAGTACCTTGGTTGACTGGACTTGAAGGATACACTGACTGCATTGGATTTCCAGATGGAAAATGCTGAGGGGATGGTCCCATTTGCTGTTGTTGAGATACGGCCACGCCTGGATACTGCTGGGTTTGTGGAGCCGAAAACTGACTGGCAAGAGTTGTTGTTGGAGGCGGACGATCCAATCCCGGTTGCCTCATTTGAGGAGTAGATCTTTCTTTCGATGTTTCACCTTAATTATAGCATTAATAAAAAATAATAATCTTTAATGTCAATTCATCGAAATTACTATTACAAAAGTATTAACTAGACTTTGTACCAGCTTCTTGAGTTGATCCAGTCTTTTGCTCTTCCTTTGATTCCTTTTCTCCTTGCTTTTCTTGAAGTGGATCAAATTCCTTTGCTTCTTGTCCAGAACTGGCTTCAACTGAACCTGAATAATAAAACACATAATTAAAATACATGCATGCTTTTTTTTTTTTATTAGTAAATATTAATAATAAACCTACTGGATCCTCCATCTCCTGTGCCTTGCGATTTTTCTTGAGTCTTCACATCCAAATTGTCTAGTATACGATTAACTTTATCTCTTATTTCTTGAAGTTCTCTTCTTATTCTAAAGTTAAAAAATTAACCTGTTTACCTACTTATAAAGTAACAAGACAAAATAAAAAAAAAAATTTCCATCTCTCATGATTTTAAAAAAAACTTTTTGATTAAAATAAAATTTAAATATAAATAAATGACATTTATAAAAAAAAAAACAGAGGCCTAAAAAATTGATGATTAAAAAGAGGCTGATAAGTTTATCAGTAATTTTTTTTTTCCTTTCAAAATATGACAAAAAATTTTATAAAAATTTAAAAAATGCTTAAAAGTAATTATTGAAATTGATGAAATGTAAAAATTAAAATAAACATTTTTTTTCTTTTCGAACAATAAGAATGTACTCTAATCAATTACAAAATTTTACTAGAATAGAATTTAAAGAATAATTAAGGTAATGAATTACCTTCTGATTTCGATGGGATGAGAATTTTCCTCTGTTTCTCCAGCTAAATTAATTTGCAGTTTCAATATTCTGGTGTGCTGTACAGCGAAAGAAAAATCTGAACTATCGAAAATAGTTATTAAATCACCATCTAAAAAAAAAAAATAAATTTTCAATTGAATATGTTTTTCTAACTCTATTTGTACTTTATTTTTAGTACATTAATTGAAGTTCAACAAACCTTCATCTTTGTATTTAATAGTGATGTCATCATTGCTGTTGAGCTTTCCTCTGAAAACTCTTTGCATCATTAAAATAAGTTCATCATAAGTGAGTGCTTCATTGTGTATTTGAAATCGACGGATATCATCTCCGAATTGTACTTTTATGACTAATTTACCGCTGAGATCAAGTTGTTGGAATGGCTGCATAGCATTCGTTGAAACATTCATTAATTAATCCTAATGAAAAATAAATTTTTGAAAAATGAACTCAAACGTGACCTCAACAAACTACAAATAATGCTAACATTATTTTAGGCTTCATACGAGGCCTATAAACGACTTTAAATCTGTAACATAAGCTTTTATAGAGCAAAGCCGGTTTACGACCGATTAATGACTTACAATAGGCGATTGCGCTTATTTAATTTTGAAAGATGTTGTCAATAAAATGGAAATACATTAAATATATATTTATTTAATAACTTAAAATCACTGATAAACTAAAAAAACCTTCACTTTTAATTATATAAAAACTCAAAGCGCTAAAACGTATTACAATTAAAAATTTTGAAGTGTCAGATTATTACTTTAAATATAATGATCCTTAATGGCGATTTTCCAAACGTAGAGAGCAATGCTACCAACTTAAACATAACGATGGCTTTTTGTTTTTTTCATTTTCATTTCACGTAAGATTTATTTTAATCTTTATTTAATTGTAAATATTTTAAAAAGTTTTACTTTTCTTTTTTTTTTTTAACTTTAAAAAGAATTTTTAACAATATGAATTCTTTTGAAATACTTTTTTTTACATGTACAAATCGAATTTTTATTCACAACTAGACCAATCATAACTTCCGTTACTTTTCCGCCTTTATTCAGCTAAAAACAATGACTGCTTAACAATTTTAATTTTTCTATATTAACTACAATAATTAAAATAAATTGTGTAAGAGTCTTAAACTTAGTTCAAGTCATTAAAAAATAATAATTATGAGTAATATTTACAAAAAAAGTATTTAATTTATATACATTAACAAATATTATTATTAATTAAATACATTTTTTATTTTAAAAAAAAAAAACCTCTGTGTTTAAAACAAGGTTTGTCAGAATTACAATAAAAAAATTTATTATAAATTTTACATTTCATTGGAAAAAAAATACATTTTGTTTTATAATAATTTACTATAATGTTTAAGTTTCTTCTTTTTTTTTATGTTAAACATGAGTAATTTAGTGAAAGTAGTTGTTTGCAACATCTTTCACTCTCAAATGCTATCAAACTCATAATAACATAAGTAAACTCATTTAAAAAAAAAGCAAAATTTGTCAGTGTTTTTTTTTTTTTTTTTTTTTTATTTAAAAGTGTATTTATATAAAATTGTGAACGT